TAAGCAAACCCCTTCCCTTCTCTGGACTCTGGTTACCCCATCTGTCCTGCATGGAGGCTAAGGCATTGCCAAGATGGTCTCCTGACCCGTCTTCCTCATCCCCATGGCCTGCTGAGGTTATTGTCCCTCTCCTTGGGAGGCTGTGTCTCCTGGGCCATCGACTTCTGGCTATTAATATCTCCACCATCCCCGGCCTGATCAGGGTGTTTAATGACTGCCAGCTGTGGCTCTGGCCCCCTCCCTTGGGAGAGATAAGAGCAGTTCCTGTTCCCACATAGGGGGAGCTGGGAGGAGGCAGGGTCATTGCTCAGGAAAACAGGCCCTGGGCAAGTGGTAGGAACAGAGGGGCTGACTCTGACTCCTCATCCTGCTGGGCCCAGGACTGCCGAATGGAGGTGCCTGCAGATACAGACTCCCTGTGCCCCTGCCCCGTGGGGGCTGTCCAGGCCTCCCCACCCTTGCCTGGGCCTTGTCCCTTTCAATCCTGATTTCAATAGCCTTGGGGCTCTCCCCAGACATCCCCACAGACATTACGTTCAGCATGTCCCCAACCAGGTCACCATCTCCCCACATCCCCTCCTCTTCCTCCTCCCTTACCTGGATGATGGACTGCCAACTTTTCCTCAGCTTGCCCCTGGGGCCCTTCTCAGCAGCCAGGGTGGCCTGCCTCAAGTCCACCTCATCCCCTTGGCCTCATTTAAGAAGCCTCCACTAGGTTCCTGCAACTAAGGGGCCCACCCCAGGCACCTGCTTACTTGGATTTGGGTGTCCCTGACACCCATCATGCTCCCTTGGGCCCTAGAGACACCTGCTTAGTCCTTGGAGACAACCTGATGTCTCTTCACCAGGGAAGCTGCTCCCTATTCATTCAGCCGGCACACTGGCCACCTTCCTTGTTCAGCCTGTGTCCCAGAGTGGTAGGTACTGTCCACATGGTGACCTCTGCTGTCGAATTGATGGTGGCCCTCTGCACCAGGATGGAGGGGGCTCCTTGCTCCTTTTTCCAGGAGGTGCCCGGCTGAGTTAACTGGACTTTGCCCTCAGGAACTGGGGTCAGGGCTCAGTCAAGGGACAGGACCTAGTCTGTGCCCTAAAGGCCCAACTCTACAGCTGAGATTGGGACAGGAATCACTGTGTGCCACAGAAGTCAGGGGACTGGGTCTTAGGACCAGTCTCTGGGTCTCCTTAATCCTAGGCTGTCCCTTGTTTCACCTATCCTGTGGCCTCACTACTTCTTCCCTCTTGTATTTCACTCTGAAATGGAGTTGAGGAGAGAGGCCTGTGTCACCTGGCCTCCTGTGGAGGGGCCTGTACTCTGTGATGTTTGGGGCCTGATGGCCAACCTTGGTGAAGTCCTTGAGGTACCCAGCAGGTGGCACTAGAGATGAGCTGGACTGGCCTGACAAGTGCCTTGCAAGGCAGGAAAGGGACTGGGGAGGTTGGAGGGAAGAAGGTGTGTAGGAGAAATCTGCTCGTGGTTGTCCCACTCTCACAGGCAGCTTGGGATGTCTGCCCATGGCATCTACCCGCTCGAGACCGTATTTCAGCTTCTCTCTGTTCCTGAATGCCCGACACTGGACTTTTCACCTACTCTCAGGGCAGGACCTCACCAGTATTTTTCCTTTTGCTGGATCTCTCCATGTTTGCTTCACTTACCACAGTCCTGGCTGATGAATCTGGTCTCCTCTGGGCTCTCTCCTTTCCTCTGAAGCTATGCCTCACTAACGGTGGGATTTCAGGCACTGTGGTGGATGGGCTGGGTCTAGTTTGGTCTGGTGGTCCTTCCTGGCCTTCCCATAGCTCAGGCAGCCTGTGGGATCACTGATTTGGAAGGAAAGGTGCTGCCCTTTCCTCTACAAATGCCCCGCTTCTTGGATCTGTGGACTCCTCCCATTTTTGTTTTCCCTCCTCCCCTTACCCTCTTCCACCAACCTGAGCTCATCCCTCATTTCCCAAGAACAATTCCTTATTCTCTCAGCCTCCATCCTCCCTGCATCCCCTGGCCCCCAGTAAGCTTGGGGGTCTCCCTCCCGTTGCTGTCCTCCCCGAGCCCAGAGGACACAGCAGGTGGCAGAAGGCTCTGTGCAGCCAGCCCCTTCCTCATTAGCCACTCATGCCGTAGCCAGGAGCTAAGCCTAGCCATCCATCAGGTGGAAAAACTGAGGCTCAGAGATGCAAGAAACTGTTCAAGATCTATGAGAACATCTGAATTAGAATTGGGACTAAAAGAGTAGGGCTGGGTCTTCTGGACCTTACTGGTAGACAACATCTCTGGAACCAGTTTAGAGAGGGACTGAGCTGGGGGCGGGGGCCAGGGAGGGAAATCAGAGAGAGAGAGAGAGAGAGAGAGAGAGAGAGAGAGAGAGAGAGACTTGGCCCAGCTGGGAGAGAGGAGGAGCATGGCCATCCTGCCTGGTCCCGATTTCTTATCCCCTGTCCCTTGGAGTAGTAGGGATGGGAGGCTCTCTCGGGGAAGAATAGAACAAGTTCCAGGTGACCCAAGTGCCCATGCCCAGCTCTCCTCACCCCATCAGTGAGTACTGAGAATGCTCTCTCCAGCAGGCCAGAGTGTGCCTGAAACCAAAACTAGGGACATTCCTTCCTCTGTCCTACAGCTGACCATGCACAGGGCAGGGATGGCACACGACTCTAGATGGAGTCTGCCACAGTCAGACCTGCTGGGCCACTGGTCCAAGGGTATGTGCCTGGGACTACCCCTGGGTTCATGGTCACTCTGATGCTGGTCTGACAACCCCTGACTCAGGCTGCTGGGTTGGTTGGGACTGTCATTTGGTGATGGGTTCTGGGATGGTACTGAGTAGGCTTTGAAGGAGACTTGTAAGCAGATCTGAGGCTTTGCCAGCTTTCTCTAGCTTCCTTTTACCAGTTGGCATCCCTCTCCCGCTCCCAAACAAGACAAGCCCCCTGCAGATTTGCAGGAAGTGAAAGCCAAGGGTCAGGCAATGGCTTTGGAGACCTCTTGCTAATTGCAATCATTGACTTTGTCTTACTGCCCGGGTCGTACTGGCTCTGTCACTCATTTTGATGACATTTGCTCTGTCCTCTATCTATCTCCTCTTAGCTGAACACTGGGCAGTTCAACATGGTCAGCTCATACCCCATGCACACCTGTCTGCAGGAATCACTGTGGCCTGCAAAATGCTCCCATTTCACCATTTCTGGGACTGTGGGCAGCTCGGACAGCTGTTTGGTACTGATCTAATAGAACTGCCTCCTCTTGGCTGGATCTAGAAGGTCAGGGGACACAACGAGAACCGCGTATAACTTCACCACTCTCAGAAGACACGGAACATCACTAAGACATGAGTCGAATATATTTAGAAGTCTGTGTTTCTCACCTGAAGTGTAGGATTCTCATCCCAAGCCAGAGGGGTGGTGACATCTGGTTTCAGTGATGCTTGTGACCTCCCCTCCTCTGAATGTGGGGAAATGGCCAAAAGTTGAGAGCTGGTCTCCATTTTAGGTCACGAGGAACATCAACCATCAGGGAAATCAAGCCGATTCAACCCAACATTTATTGTTGCACAGCCGGTTTACAGTCCTGAGGGTGTCTTCTGGCTGAAGCATGGGCAGGAAGCCATGGGGCCACAGGATGCAGGGTTGACACAGGATGTCATGACCACCAGGCTCTTGTCCAGACAATATACGGGTTCAAGGACTTAGCCATTACACCAGGGTGGCTCCAGTGGGAATGGGGTTGCAGGGATGGTGGCCATAACATAACTAAGAGGATGAAGCTTATATAATACATATATTACAATATATAAAAAGCAGCAGTTAAGAATTTGTGCCTTTGCTTTCTCATCTGGCAGATCTGAGATCAAGCCCTATCTGTGTGACAAGGTGAAGTACCTCTCTGTGAGACTTGGTTTCCTGACCTGTGAAATAGGGACAGTCGTTCCCATCTTGCTGGGTTGATGTGAGGATTAAGGGGCCCATGACAGCACATCTCTGCCTGATCCTAATCGTTGGCACACCTGGTGGGCAGCCAAGGGGCACTCCCACTGCCTATAGAGATGGGAGGGCTGGTGGCAGTCCCAACCATTCCAGCCACCCCGGGACCACTCCACTTCAGCAGGGATTATGTAGATACCTGTGCCCCCTAAACTGACTCCCTGTAAAACCACACCTGCCTGAGGCAGAGAACCTCCTCCACTCGGAGGAGCTAGCTGCTCAGAAGAGGACGCTGGGGGAGGCGATTGCATCTTGGAAGAGATAGATGTCTTAATGATAATGATGCTTAACTCGAAGAAACTTGGCAGGAACGGGAACTTCAGGCTCTGTTGAGGTGATGGTGGCAGCGGGTGACCTTTAGGTGCAAGATCTTTGTGTCCTCGGCACCAGCCACGTTCCCACATTCATTGACCGGGAATGGGCCACTGCCTACGTTGGACGGCGCCTGAGAGCCACCAGTGCCAAGTCAGGTGAGAGCATGTAGGTTTCTTGTGCTGGACGAGGACTCTGATGGCTGAGCTCCACCCCACATTTTCCCAGGTCGGAGCACCCAGCACCCCTACTTGCAGAGAAGCGGCTCCCGCGTCTGTGCATCCTACTCTCCTCAGGAAAGCACAAGGGCAGAGTTCTTTTTTTATTTATTTTTATTTTTTTAATGTTTTTATTTATTTCTAGGAGAGAGAGAGAGACAGCGTGAGCAGGGGAGGGTCAGAGAGAGAGGGAGTCACAGACCGAAACAGGCTCCAGGCTCTGAGCTGGCAGTCAGCACAGAGCCCGACGCGGGGCTCGAACCCACGAACCGCGAGATCATGACCTAAGCGAAAGTCGGACGTTTAACCGACTAAGCCACCCAGGCTCCCCGGGCAGAGTTCTTCAGGGGCGTCCAGACAGTAGCCTGGGGACCAGGTCAGCCTCTGAGCCCAGGGCTGGGGCTGGTGTCCCCCGGGCAGGCCTCGGTGCCCAGTGCCACCCGGGGTGGGAGATGCGGAAGGAACGGCTGGTGGAGGCTCATGAGCGCCTGGAGGTCAGACCGGGGAGACTTCCGCCTGGGAGCTGGAGGAACGGCATGCGCCGGGGCTGACGCGGGTCAGAATGGAGACCTGCCTGCTACACGTGACCCTGGTGCTGCCTCCAGAAGGGTGCTGGTATTTGGGGTCCGAGCCCAAGAAGCCCTGCAGGTGCCAGCGCCGCCACTTCCACCGCAACTCCGCCTGCACCTGGGAAAAGCGAGGTATTGAAGTCTGCTACTAGGAAGCCTCCTCCGTGGCTGACTGGGCTGCTCTGGATTGAGGGTGTTGAGCCAGTCAGTCAGATCCTCTAGGGGAGTCTAAATTGAGAGACCCAGATGCTGCCTTGGCTAGTGCACAGTGCACTAGGGACAGGGGTTAAATCAAGGCCTTGGAGGAGGTAGGGGAGGAGGTAGGAGGCAGAGAGAAGATCAGAGAATGAGGTCGGGGGAGGGGGAAGGGAGCTGCTCCGGGGTGGCCGAATCCCCATTCTTCTGATCGCTGCCCTCCAGCTCACACGAGCTCTTCTGAGTGGATAGATTTCTGTGCTTTGTAACCAGGGCTCCACAGTATGTCAGCCTCCACTGGCTGCCCACCCCCTTTCCCCTATCCCCACTTGCCACTTAACCAAACCAGTGTGCACACGAATCCCAGGTGTCCCAGGTGTGTGTGTGTGTGTGCATGTGCGTGTGCGTGTGTGTGTTAACATGCAGATTCTAAGTCAGCAGGTCTGGGGGGCAGAGGGCAGAAATCAGCATTTTTAACAAGATCCTAGTTATGGGCCATCACCTATTTTCTAGTCTGAGAACCACACTTGGAGTCTTAAGATTTAACCCATCCTTGCTCTGCACATATCCCATTTGTGTTTCCGGATCTTGAAACTTGAGCGCTATTGCCTGGTCCCCAAGGTCTGGGAGTGGCTTACCTCGCCATTGAGGAAGCAGTACGTGATGGCCACCACAAAACCCTAGGGAGGAAGGGGGTAGGGGAGGGGAGGTAGACAGACTCCAGGAGACCCTAGCCCCTGTGCCACCCCTGTCCCTGTCCTTATGTTCCTCTGATTAACCAAAGGGCTAAGCATACAGTAGGTCTTAATCAAGACTTATTAGAGTGGGGGGAAAATGGAATCCAGTGGCAAGGGTCAAAGACTCCAATTCCCTTAAAGCCCAGAGAAGAACGCAGACTTTGGTTGATGGTTCATACCTGGAAAGACCCCATGACGAGCTCAAAGACCATTTTCACCTCAGCTGTAAAGTTGTTGGGAAAGAAGGCGACATGATGTAGTGCACTCCCAACAGGGGAATCAGAAGAAGAGTAGATTTGGCAAGCCCCCTGGGGACAAGGGAAGGACAGACAGTGGGTACAGGAGGTAGGGACAATGATCGGGGTGTGAGGATGGGCTCCTGGCTTCCAGAAGTACTATGTGCCGATGTGTTCCTGTTCCATATCTGCAGTGCCTCTATCCTCATCCCTCTCCCCGCCACCTCCGGGTCTCCTAGCCTACAGGGAAGCATAAAGGAGAAGGAAACTCTCTTTTCTCACCTTTCTGGAGGAGGGACCATAAAGGAGGCCAGTGCTGAACCCCGAGGATGAAACCTAGTATTTCAGGCTCTGTGGCAGCCAAGGGAGAGATGCTCTCAGCCTACAGGAGGTCTTGGTTCCCTCTCTCCTGGTCTCAGTTTTCCTAATCTTTACTGTGGGATACATGTATTCTCAACATGAAAAATTATGGAAACTAGGGTCCACTGGCAACTCAGAACTGCTTTGGGTGTTATTAAGTGCAGTGCATCCAAGAGAAACTAATTCTCTACTAGGGATGAGGACATTTGGGAAGGAAAACTTTGTAATTGGGGTGCTGACCACATGTGCCCAAGGCCACTGGGAGAATGCTGAGCTCTCCAGTTTAGTACAGCTCTGTCTTTGGCTTCTGTGTTGTCCACTTCTCTAGAAGTTGCCACTTTTTCTGAGATTGCGTCCCTCCCTCCGATCCTCCCCATACCCATGCACACACTCTCAGCAGGCTCTGAAGGACCAGCTCTTCCTCCACCAGCCTTGTGTGCTTGACAGGGTCGATATTCATTCCAAATGACTCATCCCTCTCATTCCTCTCCTATGGAGCAGGGCTCATCCTGGTCAGGCCTCCCAGCCACCTGACCTCAGAGCTGGCCCAGGCAGTGTGAGCTCACAGTTCCCTGGCTGGGAGAGGTCTGAGGGGCAGGGGGTTTCCGCCTGATCTCTTCTGCCTTGGCAGTCAGTCCCGGGAAGCCTAGTCCTGGGCCTGAGGTCCCACGGCCTGGCCCCTCCCGCTCCTTCCTGGACCTGGTTCCCAGCCATGCCAAGATCCTAAGCACTGCCCACCCGTCTTTGCCACAACTCTATCCCACATGCCCGAGGCTGACAGATGGTGGCTTTCTTTAAATTGAAGGCTTATGGGGAGTTGGAGAGTGGGAACTGACAGCCCCTCAGCGGGGAGCTCCATCTCCTGTTCCCTCCGCCCACTGCCTGCCAACAACTGTTCAGTTTCTATGTCACCCACGTGGACCTGGTGATGACCAGCTTCCTTTGCCTCAGATTCAAGCCCTTTGGAGCAGTTTTCCATTGGGGCAAACTGGGCCCTGCAGGCAAAGCAGAGGATAAGGATGCACAGGTCTATTGTACTGCCTCCGGGCAGGCTACAGACCCCTTTCTCAGACTGGAAGGGAAGTTCCTCCTACGCACTCAGCTGGGGAGAATGCCATCACACCAGGAACTTGAGTCTTAGTCTCATCAGAGAGAATCACAGGATTCCAGAATAGAATCCTAAATCCAGCAGCTGGTGACGTTCTAGCTAAGAATCTTAGAACCACAGCACAAGACTCTCCCAAGAGAAGCCAGGCCAAGAGTAGTCCAGAATCCCAGGACTGGGAAGCCCTCATGGGACACTTCAGGGTTGTCCCGTCTCTGCAGCACTGATAATCAGTCTTCTATTCCCATCTGACAGCATGCAGACCCCTACTCACCTCCCCACAGCCACCCTGTCCATGTTTCTTTAGTTCTGTCTTCAAGCCCTGTTCTCATGAAAACCTTCCTGTTTCCGCAGTCCTCCCAAGAGCAGAGGGCAGCCCACACACCTTTCCAAGCAAGGAGCATGACCACTGTCCCAGGGACACTGTGCCCTCCCCCTGCCATGGCCATGTGCTTCCCACCCTTGAAGAGGAGGGAGTGTCAGTTTCTTCACCTGTAAAATGTGGACAGTTTATATGGGACCACATGTGTGGATGACATAAGATGATGTGTGGAAACCCCTTAGCACACACCTGGCATGCAAACTGCTCTTACTATTACTGGGGACTCCTGAGTCCTGAATGCGGCAACCTCGTTGTTCAGCTGGGGGCTTCCCCAGGGCATGCATCTACTGTGTCCCTTTTCTGTGCCAGGCACATGCCAGGGACTGGGCACATGGTGTGAATAGGGCACAGGTTATCTGTTGTCTTCTCAATCTCCCTGGCTTGGCAGCATATAAATATGTGTGTGGGCCTGGGTCTCTTTCCACTGTGAGGTTCTGGAGGAAGCAGGAGGAAGGAAGAGGCACTGGGCTGGGGTGGTGCCTGATTTGGGAGCCCTTCCCTGTGCAGGCCTCTCAACCTCACTGCTTCAGGAGGCTCCCAGCATGAGAGAGAAGTCCCCCTCGGGCCCGGCTCAGCCCCCCAGCTCTGTCACTGCAGCCCCGGCAGGCTTCAACCAGACAGTCAGTAAACCACAGCCCCAGATCTAAGGAGCTTACTGTGGGTCCCGCCCAGGACCCGATTCTTGGGTCAACATCCCCCACCAGCCTGGGGCAAGTAGAAAAAGGGGACAAGGCCAAATCAGCCAGCCTTGAAGTTGGGATACTAATACCTCAAGTTTTGAGGTCCACTCTCACCAGAAGGACCAGAGTTCCATGGGCCAGGCCTGTGACATAGCCGGCACCTGGGACCATCACGAATTAGGTGACCCATCTGCATCTACACAGAAGCTTTTTGTGCCTCCTGTGGGGGGAGGGGCAACAAATATTACTGTGTGAAAGCTAGTGATTAGGAGTTATTATTAGTTCACCTAAAAGAGGGCAATTCCAAGGCTGAGAGAGGTTGGGTGACCTGCCCATGGTCACACAGCAAGGAAGCATCAGGCTCAGGATACAGACTTGGGTTAGCCTGACTCTGCACCTTTCTGAGCTTCCAGACTGGCTGAAGGTACGCCCTGTCCCCTGGGACCTTGGCTGCCCTGGGTATCCAGGGAAGGCAGGAGGGATAGTGGGTCATCATCAGGGCTGGGTGGCCTCTTTGAAAAGCCCTGGGGCTGTGGCCCATGTCTCAATGGGAACTGTTCCTGAGGAGATTTCAAAGGCGGCCACTATGGGGCCCCAAGATGCAGCCTGAACTTGCATGTGATATGTAAGAGTCTCTTCCTGCTCACCACGTCATGAAAAGGAGTCACAGCCACCCCTCCACTCCTCCTGGGGCCCTCCATGTGAAAAGCACAGCTCAGTGACTAAACGTAGAAATTGGGCATTCCTTTCCTTCTCTCTCTGTCTCCCCCAACTCTCCCTCAGCCACCAGTCCTGTCCCAGCCTCCCTTCCTCACCACCACCACCATCTCACCTCTCTGGAAGTAGGGTAGCTCCCTAGTGGGCTGCTTTAATTGGCAGATGCATGGTTTTGCCTGTTCAGGGTCTGGGCACCTCTGATGCGCTAGGACTCACCTGGATCCCCTTCCCTGGGGGAGGTTTAATTGTTTCTTTGCAACCTTGCCAGTCCCATAGATTTTTCAGGAAACCCAACCCCTGAGTCAAAGTCAAAGCCAGCTCAACCCAGCCCAGCCCAGCCCAGGTCCAAAGGTTCCTAGGTTCTCAAGAAGGGAGCCTGGGGAGAGGAGGTGAAAGGATGTCACCATGTGGGGGAGAGCCTCGGGACTCTGAGTGCCGGGGTGACCTGGTGTGGAGGAGGGGGCCGGGGGGGAAGGGCTGGTGGGGGGAGGGGATCTTTGAGGACTGCAACAACCGCATCTGCGGCTGAAGGCTGAGAACACCTGCATCTGTGGGGCCCGGCCAGAGAACACAGCTTCCCTTCCTTGGGGGTCCCAAGCCCTTCTGTCCACTCCATCATGAGGCTTCTATGGCCTTACTCTGGTTCCCGGCCCCTCCCCTGCTCCTGTGCCAGCCTCTCAGGAGGCCACGGAGGGGCTCATCATGCCAGACAAATCCTGCTAGTGGTTCAGGACCCTATTGATCATATCAACAAATACTTAGGAAGCCTTTGTAAGTAGGAGGCACTCTTCTACCCTCTGATTTAACCTTTCCATTTTACATAACTGATTTAACCTTTAAATGCATAAATACATAAATGATTTAACCTTTCCTTTTTACAGATGAGTAACTGAGGCAGGGAGCAAGTAGGTAACTAGCACAAGGTCACATCGCTGGTGAACGGTGCAGCCTGTTCACAGGTTCATATGCTCCCTCGCCAGCAAACCTCGCACTCTCCTCCTCTTCTGAAGGGCTCGATGTCTGTTCCGTGGGGAATTTTGCCCTGCTGGACCCTGTTTAGCCGTCTCTGACAGTGCCTGGCACACCTTGCTTTGTAGGCCAGCTATTGTGTCCAAATCCTCGCCAGACATAGAGCTCTCTGCATCTCCAGCCGCCGCACAGTCGGCCGGCAGATTTGGAGCTGGGTGTCTGGCCCTGAGGTCGGCTTCACCGGAAGTGACACAGGGCAAGGGAGACCGGGCACTGCCCTTGGGTGGGGAGCTGCACTCGGCCTCAAGGAGTCTCAACACCACCAGGACTGGGCTGTGAACTGTCCTGGGGTGCAGGCCAGTGGACATGGCAGGGGACCCTGTGAAGAGAGGCCACTAGAGGCATGTGGTCAGGGAAGCTTCCTGGAGGAGGCAGCAGGGTCAGGAAGCTGAGAAGGGAGTAACAGCCAAGAAAATGCTAGCGCACCTGGGGGGCTCGGTTGGTTAAGCGTCAGACTCTTGACATTAGCTCAGGTGATGATCTCACAGTTCGAGAGTTTGGGCCCCAAGTTGGGCTCTGTGCTGACAAATGTGGAACCCGGTTGGGACTCTCTCTCGCGTGCGCGTGCTCTTTGCCCCTCCCCCACTCATGCTTGCTCACTCTCTCAAAATAAATAAGTAAACTTAAAAAAATTTTTTTTTAAATCAGAAAAAAAAATGCTGGCTGCCTGGAGAGCCTGTTGTCTTGGGTTGGTCCTCAGGAATCTTCTCTGTGTGCCTGAGAGATTGGCCCCACAGGCCCCATCACACATGTCCCCAGGCCCACAGAGAAACAGGGCTCTTCTTGGCCGTGTGTGCTCCCTCAACAAGCAAGACAGCCTGGAGACCAGGCTGGGGTTAGTGAGGCAGGGTGGGGGCTTCCGCTGTGCTGTTTTATAGATATGTGTGCACCTAGAGACACACACAGACCAGCACTCCCAGGCACAAAGAGCCACACTCATACATGCAAATATACATACACGAATGCTTCCTTGGACATGGGAAGACCAGACACAAGCAAACAGAGGCACAGAGAGACACACAGCTCACAAACACGCACACATAGACATGAGTAGGCACAGCACAGATATTCATACTCGTACATCCACGATCACACACAGACGACACACAGAGACACAGCGCAGCAGGCAAACATATCCAGGCATGTCCAGGCTTACGCAGACACATGCTCCTGACACACAAAGACACTCAGGGTCAGACATCGAGCTTGCAGACCCCAGAGGCCCAGGCAGCTCCAGATGGACATGAGCCGGGAGCACACACCTAGATGTGCATGAACAGGCCCAGAGCCCCACCCACACAAGGTCATGGGCAGACTCACTTGCACTTGTCTGGATCCCAGGCTGCCTTCCAAGTGACAGGATTTTGGTACCCAACAGGCACCCTGTGCCAGCAATTACCTCACTGGGATCATGAGGGTGGCTCTCCCTCGGGGCGTAGGAGGCAGTGCCATGAGGGTCCTAGATTTGGGGTCTGGGCGTCTCTGGGGTATTTGCAACCCTGGATCCTATTGTTGGGGGTTGCTGAGGATGGTCCACCATGTCTCCTGCCTCTCTGACCTGGAGGGTAGGGTAGGGTGCAGAGGCAGTGGGTGGTCTGGCCACCCCTCACCCAGGTCTCAGGCTTAAGGCCTCAGGCGACAGGAGCCTATCCTTCCTCAAGAGCTGGGGGCGGGGGGGGGGGGGCGCTAAAGGCCATCCGTGAGGCTACACACACTCACTTCTGGGGAAGGGTGCAGAGGCAGTGGGTGGTCTGGCCACCCCTCACCCAGGTCTCAGGCTGAAGGCCTCAGGTGACAGGAGCCTATCCTTCCTCAAGGGGGGGGGGGGGGGGGGGGGGGGCGCTAAAGGCCATCCGTGAGGCTACACACACTCACTTCTGGTGCAGGAAGCAGATTCTGGGCACCATGGCCAAGAAAGAGGGATCCAGGAAGGATTGCATAACTATCAGTCTCTGAGAGGTGACAGGAGACAGAGGAGCTTGGGACATGTAAAGATGTTCCTGCTCCGAGCAAGGCTGTTACACAACTGCAAGTTTGGCCTCGGGGAGGTGACCTGATAGAGAGGCCCAGAGCAGGCACATCCACCCAACTGCTCCAGTCCTACTCTGCCCTCAGTGAGCCTTGAACTCCATACCATCCCCCAATCCTGAGGGGCAGTCTACCTAGGCACCTCCCACCGTCCCAGCCTCTCTGCTTCTCCACAGCCTGCCCACCCTTCAGAATCTGTCCCAAGGGTACTTTTCAAAGGAAGGCTCCGGAATCCCTCCATTCCTATCTCAGCTGTGGTGTGGGGCACCCGGGCTGGGGGGAGGGGGGGTCATCAGAAGTGCTGGCCTTGCTGGCTCCGGGAACTTGGGCAGCCTCCGCCCGAGGGTGCCTCTGGCGCCACCCATCAGGCCCTCATGCTACCAGGCCAGAGCTCTCCTCCCACACCCCTGAGCTGGGCCTACATGTGCTCGGCCTATGAGTCTGACTGTGACTTGTCTCACCAGCTGCACATGAGCAGGTGGTTCACCTGGCCTGCTGATGGTGGGTTGGGATGGGGAGGGAAGCATGTGTGCCTCAGGGTCTGTGTGTGTGGTGGCACCTCTGGGTGCAGAGCTGGGAGTCGGGAGGAAAAAGCTGGGCCTCAGAACCCCCAGTTTAGTGTGTTCTCCTTGGCTCACAGCAGGACACTTCCAGACCTGGGGCAGATGATGGGATCGGAGAGGCCCATTATGACTTCCTGCTTCCCTGCCCCCCAGCTTCCAGCGGCATCCTCTCCTCACCCCCAGCAGCTCTGTGACGCTATTCCTATCTGATACATGCAGGAGGAATGTGCCCTGGATCTGGGCTCATCCGGTGAGGAGAGCAGGGCTCCCTGGGGGGGTGTAGGCTCTCCTCCTGCAGGGCCTCACCTGCCATGTCATTCTCCTGCTGGGCCTCCTCCAGGCACTGCTTTTGTGCTGCATCTCAATCAGCCACAGGTAGTAGTAACATTCTTCCTGCTGCAGGATGGTTGCCCGGATGCCCTGGGGAACGAAGACAGGGAGAGGACCCATCAGCCTCATCCATGTCCTGCCTACCTCTCGTCCATAGACTCGAGGAGCATGAGACTCAACAGGGCCTGTCACTTGACTGACCCAAGTTCCAGACAGAATCCAATCCCAACCCCAGACTAAAACCCAACCCTGACCTGGATTGAACCCTGAGCTCTTGACCGTAGTCCCCAAGGCTGGGTCTGCCTTGAGGGCCCTGTTGTAGCTTCCTGGTGGTTCCAATAGTGCCGCAGCTGTAACAGCTTTGTCCTTTCTGTGAGTGGCACTGCTCTGGTACCTCTCTGTAGAGCTCAGAGCCAGCCCTCTGCACTCTGCTACCATTTAGCCTGGGTTGGGAGTCCTCAGTGCTTGCCTCAGACACTGTGGATGAGTAGGGCCCAGCTAGTGCTACCTGGTTACGAAGACTTGGTCCCTGGAGCCAGGCCTGGGAGGAACCCAGGAGTCTGGCTGCATCTTCCAGCCCCTGTCCTCGTTCCACAAGCCTGTGCTTGGTCTCCTGGGTCACCAGGCTGGAAAGGGACACTTGCTTTCTTTACTCACACGTCACCTGCCTTCTTCTTAGCTTCTAAACAATTTAAGCTATATCAGATCTAATGAAGGAGTGGAGGTTTCAGGAAATAAGAGGGGCTCCTCTCGGGTGTCTTGCCATCCCACCAAACCTCCTCTGTCCCTGTCCCTGCCTCTCGGAGGTAGGGAGAAGAGGGATGGGAAAGCCCAAGTCTCTCCCCTCCCTGTTCCTGCACCCTGGCCAGGGATCAGGGATGGAGCCAGACCCGTGTGCTGGCATGGGAGGCGGGTGGGCATTGGCACTGGAGCAAACAGGTGAGCAGTGGGTGATGGCTGCCCAGGAACAGACAGAAAAAAAACCAGGTCTTGGAGCCACTGGGTGGGCAAGGGCAGGTGAAGACCTCCATGGAGGAACCACTGAGCTGGTAGAAGCTTCTGCTGGTCTCTTTGGCTACCACTCCTGGGCAACCTTCCATCAGTTTCCTCATCTTTGCTCAGGGAGGAAGAATGCCTTAGTCCCCAACAGAGCTGTTGGGGAACGTTCAGCAATGCAGCTCCAGAATCAAGGATTCTCAGTGTCTCTTCCAACTTGTTCCTCCTGCCCCGGGACAAGGTCCTTACCTCCCTCAGTGCCTTGTAGGCCAAATGGGCCTCCACCATCTCCGTTGCTGACTCAAGGTCTTGTTGCAGTGGGACTATGGGGGCAAAGTGTCTCTTTCCTTAAGCGTATCCCCATCTGGCCTGGTACCAAGGATGTGACTTTGACCACTGTTTGAAGTAAAGTGATTCCCCAGAAGGATAAGCATTCCAGGTGCCAGGGAGCTCTCCATTGCTATAGAGGAAGGAGGTCTAAGCTGAAGCTGGACAACTCAGTGCCCAAGAGGCTGCACAGCTGACTCCCTTCCACTTAACACTCTCTCATCCCTTGTGGAGGCCTTGGTGGAGACTCTCTGTCACAGAGGTCCTCACCATCCAACTTTCCCACATGCAGCTAAGCACCACAGCTGGCCTAGCCCAGGTGTGAGGGAAGACGTCCTTGTCCAGGATGTCTTTCAGACTCCCTGGCACCTAGACTTGCTCACCCATGTGCCATGGCCCGGAAGCCTCACTGGGTTCCATCTTGGACTGCTAACTTTATCAGCTAACTGGGGTAACGATATTAGCTGGTTAAGTCATTAAAAACTTGGCATATGGAGAGTAACACAGATCCATATATGGATATATGGATTTCTGTATAACTGCTTAAAAGAAAATACATGAGAGTTGAAGGAAATGTGCCGTAGTCCCTCTTTGGGGTCCCATGCTTCCCTTCTTGCCCAAAAGCATTACTGAGACTGAAACGCTCAAGATGCTCGGTCTTAAGTGATCTGTGGTGGGCTTATACTGTTCAGGCATGGGAAGAGGGGTGGCCAAAGGTGGCCTCTGGAAGAAGAACCTGGGGATTGGCTTGTGTCCCACTACTGGTTTGTCTTGCTTGCCTAGAGCATGCTTCTCCCTGAAGTGCCTTCCCAGCCCCACTGCCTTCCAGCAAGAGGGTTTGTTCTGCCTTCTGCCCATTCTCTCCTCCTCTCCTCCCACCACATGAACGCAGGTTGGATGGTGGTAGACGTTTCTTGTTGCTGCCTTTCCACCATCCTTTACCCTCTACTGGTACCATGTCCTCATCTCTATCAGGGAAATCACCTCCTTCCCCACTCCTAGTTCTTGGGGTTCTGATGAACCCTTTTCTAAGGAATCAACATGTGATCAGACTTGAGTCCATCAGAACAGTCCTGACCTTAGTGCCTGGCACACTGCCCAAGTCAGGTTGCTCAGAGCCAGCAGGCTCATCCCTGGGACTTTGGATTGAGAGATTAGACAAGTGGATTTGTCTTTCCCACTAGACTGGAAACCTCAAAGAGTGCAGGGGCTGGAACTACTGTCACTATCTTGTTGCTTCTTGTGTTGTTGTGGAACACAATGAAAAAAGCCACACAGGTAAAGGCTGAATAAGGAGATGGAGAAAAACTGGATCCTCTTGACATTGTCTAAGTCCCTGGATGCAGCTATGCCTAAAAGTAGCCCTGCTTCCTAACAACATGAGTCAGTGTCTTTCTTTATTTCTTGAATCAGTTGAGTTTTCTATCCCTGTAACTAAAAGAGTCCAGACTAGTGCTCTGAGGACAGGACAATGGATGCCTTCATTTAATGGGTCTTCTTAAGCCAGAGCTGTGGCCATGCTGTTTACCAAGAGAGAATCCTTTTTCAAGATCACCGAGGGCATCATAGGGTTCCTAGTAGCTTCTGACGGTGGAAGCTTTGGGTAAACTTCTCTAGCCAGCTCTGCCCGCACCCACTAGCAGCACAGCCACAAAGCCTTTCCTGAGAGGCAGTTTGCAGGAGGAGGGGCAGAAGACACTAGGATAACCTAGGATCCTGGAGTATCTCTGAATAAAGTGAGGGTAGTCTGGAAGATGAGCTCTGTCTTTACCACAGCTTAGTTGAGTGCTAGACTCCAACTGCAGAAGGGTAGAGGAAAGAGAGACCCAAAGAGGGATCTCAGGTCACCTAGCAAATGCACATTCCTAGATAGGAGCTACATCTCTGGCCATGAGTCTGGACTGCATTAATCTGTCTTCATGGCTTAGCTTTTGGCCATCTGGTCTACCACTGCCCTTTGGAAGGCAGAGCCAGGGCAGCTCCCTGTAGTCCTTATCATTGAGGAATTCAGGCACACTTTGAACTTCCTCTTCCACTTATTTCCCTATGCTAAACATCCTCATTATCCCTCTGGACTCCAGACACACAAAGTTGGAAAATTCCCAGCCAGATATAGCCAAGCCTACTGATTCTAGGAAAGGGTTACAGGGTGGGATATAGGTGGGGTGTGGGCTTCATAGAGAATGGGTAGTAGAGGTGGGTTTTTGAAGATGTGTGAGTTTGACAGTTAGCGGTGGAGTAAGAACATTCCAGAGAGTAGGAGCAGTGTGTACAGAAGTATGAAGGTATGAAAATGCCTAATACATGCAAGGTTGCAAAAGCCTGGGGTGACTGTAGCAAGGGGTCCTGAGGCATCAGCAGACAAATTGTGGGATACAGACAGGGGCCAAGCCTCATCAGTACCTGCCTGGATCAGTGTACTAGGTTTCAGCCCCATCACCTGCAACCCAAGGTCCCTAAGGCCTAGCAGTCAAAGCCCACCCTTCATAACTGGCATTCAAGTTCCTCCTTATTCTATGACTGCCTACCTTTCCCAACTTGTCTCCTGATGCCCCATGTGGAGAGGAGAAAGCAAGACTTTCTCTCAATCCTTTACCCATTCCTGTACTGGGCTGAGCTCCACGTGGGCTTAAAGTCACCTGATCCTGTGGGGGGGGGGGGTTGAGGTGAGAGTTTCAGGCCCTACTGAGTCCCCAGTACCTTTTCTATCACAGGAATTCCTGAGGCCAGAAGAGGAGACCTAGGCCAGAGTGAGGAAGTCTGTAGCAGCCTTCAATCTGGGTCCTCTTCTGTCCCCTGCCATGGTACTGGCTGGATGTGGGAGGTGATGACTAGAAGCTGGCAGGAAAACCCTGAGTCTCTGGTTGGGGGCAGGTATTAACCAAGTCTTCTTAAGTCTGCCTGCTTATTTGGGTCCCTTCCTCTCTATCCCCACTGTGAGCGCTTTCTCCTGCATGTGGGGCTCCCTGAAATCTGGGGTAGGGTGTAGATACTGGGAGCTGTGACTGTTAGATGATAGGGGCTTTGAAAGATGGAGTGGAGGGCTGATTCAGCTTTTGTGGGTGCCATACCCATCCCTCAAGGGAAGCTTGAGCCCACAGCTACCGTCCGGGAATCAGAACCCCCAGCCTCAACTGGGGACAGTTGAACTGTGGTGGGAGAAGCCAAGGGAGGCAGAAGCAGCATGGTGGGGAAGCAGGAGTCCCTCTGAGGGCCAGCTGGTTTCTGAGAGGGGTGACAAATGCAGCAGGCTAGAGTAGATAAGATGGGAGAAAGCACTTCCTGCCTGCAAATTATGGAGCCAAAGTGAATGATTTGTGTTTCCCAGGCTTGTTGAAGAGGGTCCTCTTCCCTGGCCAAGTTGCAGGGAGCTGGGGAACAGGGGATAAAGAGCCGCAGGGGTCTCATTTACCCTTTTCCCATCACCAGCTCATATCCCATGATTTATTAAGCTGAAAAACAAGCTCTTCCTGCACAATCTGTCATCAGAAGAGGGGAAGAGATCACCAACTGACTCTGGAAGTCTCACAGCCTCGTGGCTGCACTCAGCCCTCTGCACGGGGCCCCGACACCAACATCACCCCTGGACATAGTGTGTCTAAACTGGGTTCTCTTTCTGCAAGAGGCAGAGGATTTAAACCTGAGTCTCTGCTGCTCCTGCCTGCTGCCCATTGCCACAA